GAACAGACGTTTTGGTGAAGCACTAAACATCTGGCCAATGCAGACCCGTCTTGCCGTTGACGGGCTTTCTTTCCAAGGCTGCATCATGCACCATTGCCAGACACTGGGGAATGTGAGCCAGAAGAAAGGGACTCCACTGCCTGTGACCAAGATGTCCTTGTGCCACTATGGCTGTCACCTGCCTACAGCTTTCACTGTTAATCTTACATCTCAGCAAATACAGTATTATTTCTCCAATAGTGTCGGTTGCTGATATTATCACTGACTGGTTATTTATCATATATAGCTGTAATTGAATTACCCACTGCAGTAATGGGATTTACTCTCAAATGCACATAAAAGTGCAACACAAAGTAGAATTGTTCCGCTGTGTGCTTCCTTGTCCCTTGGCTTGAACTGCAGGTCAGCCAATTCCCCAGGAAAGCAGAGACAAAAAGGACTGAGAGATAAAAGACGGGTGGGTTCGTGACCAAACACAACAGAAGCCACCCTTTAGCAAAGGCATTCTCTTTTGAAATGGTTTTCCATTTGCTGTTAATAAGACAGCCTGTCCGAAAACATGCAAAGAAAAAGTAGCAATTGAAAGACTTACTTTTCCACATGCAGTTGTGGGCATGTGGGGAAACATCTGGGAACTCGGGAAGGGGAATAAGATGCACTCAGCTTTGGTCTTGTTAAATAACCATAAATTTGGGGACCAGAAAAAGAGAGAGAGAGAGAAGGAAAAAGATGATGACAGGCATACTTTGGGCAAAGTGTTTTGACTCTTTGAGTCCACGCTGCATTGATCCTGCCACTTTCAATGGCATGCCCCAGATGAAACACAACTCCACCTTTGAAGCTTCTGACTTCAAACTACCCTGTGAAATGCAGGCCAGGCTTCCTATTCCTAGGATCTTCCACAAGTCACCAACTAATCATGTCAGTATCTGCATGTTAAAACCAACTTAGGATTTTTGAAACTCTGAACAAAACAGAATTTTAGGCTGAGGGTGGAAAGTCTGCATGGGTCTGAAGTGGAGTTTCTATTCCCTGTTTCCTTTCTGTCAGAAATAGATGCTGTGTGCCTGAGTAATCAGTACCTGAAACACAGCGGTACAGTTGCTAACGGCGCTTGCTACCAAATCAGGTGACCCAAATTTGGTCCTCAGATACATGATGGAAGAACAGAACCAACGCCCACAAGCTGTCATGTGACCTTCACACACTCACCGTGTCATGTGAAAAGCACACACACACACACAACCACACAGGCACACATGCTCACTCATTTACTTAAAAATAAATTTAAAAAAAATACCAAAAAAAAATAAGTTCTGTAGTTACACATATACCAGTCACCTCTTCAAGGTACATTCCAAAGAGCTGGAGGAGACCCATCTCTGTGATGCTACCAATCAGTGGGAATTAAAAACAGCAGAATGCCCCATCTATAGCAGACCACCATGTCTGCAGGGTGGGAGAGGCTTTCATGCACAGTAATTCTGGACTAGACATACATCTTCAACCAGAAAGGATGCGGGAGCATCTGTGAAAATCTCTGTGTTGCCGACAACAGCACCAGAGACACTATAAACAACTCAGGAAATGACATATGCTCATCTGGGGATTCCAGAAAAGTGTACTTTGCAGAAAATAAATATAAATTTTCAAGCAGGTGCAGGTGGGCAGACATGGAGAAGCTTCCCCATTAGATACTTAGTTGCAATTTTCAATTTGTTAGACACTGTAATTTGTGTTTTCAACATTATTGAACATTAAACACAAAAACTTGTCACCTTGGTATTATAATTATACCCTAAGCAATTTGTCTGAGTAACTATAGCAACAACTGCAGATACATTTTATAATACTAATTTGGTATAATTTTAGAATCAAGAATTATCGCGGATTTATTATAGAAAGTAGAAATGTTTTTCACAAATGGTTGTACATATTCTACACTAAAAATGGTTTACTTAGCTAGGACTTAATGTAAATGAATGGATTTATTCTGTAGTGCACACTACGAGATCTGTAACACGAGCCTCTTCTTTGTGGGCAGGTTCTAATCTGCAAACTCTGGAGTCCATGTTCACCCATGTATTCAATGGAATAGCCTGTATCCTTGGTTGAACTGCCAGCAAAGTCCCACCCAACCCTCCTCCACCTTCCTGTATTTTATTGGTGGAGAGCCTCTGTGTCAATGATCTGACATCCAGAGACCTTACAGATCATCAGCCAGTTAATGGGAGCTTTGCAATGGCTCCACTAGGCAGCCCTCTCTGGTATGAGAAGCAACTGATACAGTCACTAAGAGACTGGCAACTATCTTGAGCAAGAAACCCTCAGCAAGAGGCTAAAATGAGGACAGAGAAACTGATAGGAGGACTTCCAGTGGTCCATGGAATCCAAGAGTATGCTAAGCTTGCAAGAACACGCTTATACTGATAAGAAGACTAAGACAATGGGGATGTTCTATTGGGATCTCACCAAGGCCAGCTGGCCTAGGTCTGAAAAAGCATGGGATAAATCCGGACTAGCTGAACATAGCGGACAATGAAGAATACTCAGAATTCAAGAACAATTGCAGTGGGTTTTTGATCCTACTGCACATACTGGCTTTGGGGGAGCCTAGGCAGTTTGAATGCTCACCTTACGAGACCTGGATAGAGGTGGGCAGTCCTTGGGCTTCCCACAGGTCAGGGAACCCTGATTGCTCTTCGAGCAGATGAGGGGGGGGGGACTTGATCGGGGGAGGGGGAGGGAAATGGGAAGCGGTTGTGGGGACGAGGCAGAAATCCTTAATAAATAAATAAATTAAAAACTGGAAAAAAAATAAAGCATTATGTAATCTAAAAAAAAACACGCTTATATTTATCTTAGTATCATTGTCAACTAGTTTTACTCTGCGGTCTACATTTCTCTGCTTCATTCTTGCAGGCATGGCTAGGAAGTTGAGACAGACATGAATAGGGACAAATACCTGTTTATTTTCACCAAATTCTGAACACCTCAAATACTTCTCTGGTCAAATTCAGGCTTTCCGGCCCAGAAGACTAAAGTCTTTGCTCTCAGCAGGGATCCGCAGCTGTCTGCCATTAAGACACCCAAAAGCGCTAGCGACATCTTAAAAGGCATAAAATAATGAGCACCATCCATCCTCCTTCCGTGAGGACAAGCACGTGTTGACTACAGATGTGGAAAAGCGGATAGCAGCTCACAGACCTCGCAGTCGTATGACCACACATTGTGACGACAGGCAGCATCTCGGGGAGCCACTGTCCCCAACACTTTTACAATAAACAAACTCAAGCCAAAGGAAATCTGTGCTTAGATAATCCCATGTAGAACCGCTCTTCCATGTAAATCAAGCATGCAGAAGAAATTTGAGTGGGCAGAAAGAAACGCACATTTCGTTGGGAGTAAACGCAGGAAAGAAAAGTTGCTTCAGTGATCTACAGTAGAAGGTGTCCACTTAAGACTTATGCCTTCAGTGGAACTGTGAACTGCTTATTCCCAGGGACAGGCTTCACCTTCTGGCAAAACAGCGATTAATCAGCAGCTAATTCAACTATTCTAATAGGGTATTAAAAACCCTTTGCTGTCAAAGTCTAGTTTGTCTTTCTGTGTCTCCTTTTAAAAGATGATCTCTGTAGTTAATAACACTTCTGCTCTTCACATTCTTGGCCGTTACAACAGAGCCTTCCCAGATAAGCCTGGACACACAGCTATATTAAAATAAATATAAATAAATAGCTGCAATAATTTAACACCCTGCCTTTTAACCAATAAGCTCTTTGGGAACCGAACCTCCTCTCCGTATTGCACATAACTATGACATTTCCACGCAATTTCAATTGCCTTCTTGTCAAACCCAGTTGTCAAAGGAGAAAGATTTGCAAACAGAGGAGTTTGTAGGAATTTGTCTTCGAAGAGACCTTTCCAGTAAGAGGACTTCCATCCAACTTTTCTGTCCCTTCTTCTGAGTAGACCGAAAGCTCTCTACGGTAACAGAAAACTACCTTTTGGGGTGCAATTACTGCAAAATCTGTGTTTTACCACTAGTAGGATTCCCTACCCTCCTGCCCAGGACAGAAACACTAACAGACTCTGAAGCACCCTCTCGCCCTCTCAGAAAGCTCGCTCTTGGCGCCCCCTGCCGGGGATCTCTGGACGCTGAGGGCGCAGGAAAGTTAAAGCCCAACTCCAGGCAACCGCATCCAGGTACAACAACAAAAAGACAGACGAAAGCGCTTCCCGCCAAAGCCAGGGGAACTGGAACCCAACAACGCTAGGCCCAGTACCAGGAGTGATCGCGGGGGTTTAACCCACACCTCCAACAGTTCCTCCGAACATCCCGAGCCCGGATCTTCGCCTGACCCCAGACGAAACGCATGAGGCGGAGGTGCCAGTGCACAGAGGCTCCGCGAGTGGCTAGCGGGTCCCCAGGCCTCACCACCTCTGCCTTAGTCTACCTCAACAAAACAGCCTGGCGGAGTTGAGTCCTAGCCCCACTATCCCCGGATTCTCCCGAACACCGCAAAGCCCCTATACCGAGAGCAAGAAAATGTCCCCGAGCCCACAGGGCTGTGAGGTAGGCGATTCCGATTGCCAGACCTGGCTGGCTGCAGCTCCCACCACGCCAGCCTGGCTTCGCGCGGAGTGCGCGCACAGATCTCCACGCGTACCTGAGAGGTGCTGGCCGAGGTTCAGGCTCGCCCACTGTCCGATCGCACACCCGGACACTCCAACTCCTTTCCAACGCACGCTAGGATCTGGGCAAAGGCTAGGACACAAACTTCCAGCCGGTGTACTACCTCCACCGCGACCGCCTCCGCACTGACGGTGGTCCTATTCCTACTCGCGCGGCTGCCGGGCTGTCCCCACCCAGCTGCCAGCAGAGTAACCCTAACCGAGACCTATACCACCCACAGACAGTCCAATGTTGCCCCAGGTCTAGTTCACCCGCACAGGGTCTCAGCCACGACACCCAGGGACGCGGTGGGGAGCAGGCTCACCAGATGCGGGGAGCGTTCCTCCTGCCAGTCATCCAGCGCCCGGGGCCCGGAGGGGCTCCAAGGGTCCTCTTCAGCGCGCTGCAAGGGAAATCGAGGCAGCTGCCGCTACTGCTCCCCGCCACTTCTCCAGAGCTATCTATCCTCTGCTCGCAGCGCGCCGGGAGGACGGAGTCCCTAGTCGTGCAGCTGAGCAAGCAAGCTCGCCTTGAGCGAGGGCGACCCTCAAGGTGGCAAAGTTGGGTGCCCTCTGCTTGGTAGCCGCTCGTAAGAACACCCCCAAAGAAGGGTCGCACGTGCTGGAGCGTCCCCGCAATGAGAAACTGTGATGCAGAGGCCACCTCTCTGCAGGGGCCGCGGCCGGTCAGGGTTTGAGAAGCCCACCCGCTACCGGAGCACAGCACCCGGGAGTGGGCACAGCGTGAGTCGCCGGCGCCGGCGCCGCCTTCCCGGCGAGTAGAGCCCCGCTGGATGCGCGGGCCCGGAGCTCGGGGCGGGGAGCCCAGGGCCGCCTAGCCCCGCCCTCGCCACGCCCCCGCCGCCGCACCTCCCCTTCTCCGCCCCTCCCGGGTGCAAGCTGAGCGCCCCACCCGCCCCTGACCTGCCCAGGCCCCTCCTCTGGCCCCGCCTCTTCCCGAGATGGGACCCCCTAAACACTCCCCGGGGGGCTGTCACCACACCCCACGAGTCCCATTTGTGCCTCCCGAGAGCAAGTTCACCCAAATGGTGACATTTTAGGGACTCTCTTTCTCGACTCGCCAAGACCTTCTAAGGTTACCCGCCCCCTGTCCAGTCGCTCCGACGTGGCTACTTTGCGGGTTGGGCTGTATAAAGGGCTGGAGGCAGCTCGACGCAAATCAGAGACGTGGCGCTTCTACTAGGCCTGCCTAGGCTCCAGGTATGTGCGCGCCCTTTGGCGGATCACGGGTGGGGAGAGGGTAGAAGTTTAAGATTCAGTTCTTCCGTGTCATCCTAAGAAGGCCAGGGGCAGGATGGGGGCCGGGGGACTAGGGGCTCGCCGCGGATTCTTGCAAGCAAGTTGGGCCCACGTGGCTCTCAGCTAGTTTTGGCTTACTTGGAGAGCGTAGATCAGACAAATGTACAAATCTGCCATCCAGGGAAGCAGAGCAAGAGGCCTCCAAGTGGCCCAGGTTGCATTAGAAGAGGGTCTCTTCATGGACAGAGCCAGCTGGGCTAATTCGCCAGTCTGCAAGGATATTTGAGCCTCTCGGAGTTTATATTGGAACGCAAAGTAAATCGCCTTGGCAGGGCAGTTTTGTTGACTTGAGTTGTTCTTTTCTCCTTCTAGGGAAGTGATCAACTCACGGGGTTTTAAACAACTTACGTGGTTGTTGAATGGGAAAGTCACAGGATAAAGAGAGCCAGGAAACTAGGGTTCCTACCCCTGTAGCCACATGTGACCCCTTCCCTCAGTATAGGATGGGGTGAGAGCGTCTTCAGGCTATTTTTTCCCTATCTTGGGCTTTGTTAGTGGCTTCGGGATGTTTTTGCATTAAGGGACCTCATGAGTGACTCTCTTAGCTGCAGGACCGAAGGTCGCCCTCATGGGGCCACATTCACACCCTGGTAATTGGCAAGCTGCAAATGTGCGGGGGGGGGGGGGCAGTTCAGAGGTCTGTAAGGGTGTGCCGTGTGCCACTGTACGAACTGGAGACCTGGTAATAGCTGGAATGTGTCACAGCCCCTTCCAGGACCACTGAGATTCAAGAGGAGAACAATAGAAGCACAAATTGCCCCCAATTTGTCGTTTCTGTCACCTTTCAGATAAAGGAATTCTGTGAAACTAATTTGAAAGCCTTTGTGGGAGCCCCCAGAGTGCACAGTGGCTGGAACTGTGGGCACGGAGGGGACCAGGGGCCCAACTTGGATGGCTTTTCGGGGCTTATTTGGGAAGCATCCCTCACAGTTGTTTGACTGGCTTCTCGCTCTCGGTGGCAGCTCCTGGTTTCTGGGTCTTGAAGGGAAAAGTCAATGGGTTTCCTGGCCTTGCTTCGGCTTCAGAAGTGGGTGGGAACTGGAGCCATTGCTAACACTCTCCTTCCCTTGCCTACGTGGCACAGGAGCCTGAGAGGCTCTTGGGAGAAGGAGGCCTGCCAAGGGCCAAGGTCTGGCGGTGGAGGACTTCAGCCTTCCGCATGAACCCTATAGCCTTCGTGTGGGTGGGTGGGACCTAACAGGGTGAAGAAAGACAAATTAAGACTCAAGTGTGTTTAGCTAATTCGTATCTGCTACTGTTAAAAACAGTTAACACTTTTTAATAAATTATTTTTTAAGAAAGAAAAAGTGAGGTGCATCATGCCTGTGTGCCCAGTGCTCTGGTGTCTGAGGCAGCAGAGCTGGGGCTTAAGGCCAGTTTGGGGTCACCTAGGGGGACCCTGTCTCATATAAACTCACAAGCAAGCAAAGAAACTCATCTTAGCTTGGAGGCCTAAGCCCTGAGGATTATCACATAGACTCTCCCCCTCGAAATGAAGCTACTTTGTGTCACTGGGGCAGGAAACGGGTTCAGTCTGGCTGTTTACAAGCCATACTGTACCACTGCTGGAGTTCATCACCAGTGATCCGGAATTAGAAACCTTTAATAAGTGAGGACAGAAACCAAATTTTCATTAAGAATGCTTTCTTGGTTTAAAGTGGACTGGTTCTAAGCTGAGGACGATGTTGTCGCAGACTTGCAGAAAGTCTGTGAAAGTCTGAGCTAGTGTCTTCTGGTGCCGCTTGACCAGCTCACCAGAAATGTCAGTCAGGAGCAGCAAAGGCAAAAGGAGTTGTTAAACACCAAATACCTGAGACTCAGCACCAAGTAGGCACTCTGAAAAATGTAATTGTTTAAAAGTGCTTATAAACATTTCATTTTTCTAATAAAATTTGATTTTTTTTTCCTTTTAAGAAGTCTTTCTTGTTAAAGTACCCGAATCACCATACTGTAAAACTAAATGTGATTATGATTTTACCAAGGGTGTTCTGTTGTCATCACACTGAAACTCTCTCTCTATTTCCCTTCCCTGCCCCCCACCCCACCCCTACTCAACTACTTCGGGCTTCGGGTGAGCCTTGTGTACAGGGTCAAAACTGAGGAATGCTGGGAAATGACACAGCTGGTGAAAATGATGAATTCTGGGGCGCTGATTCATGTGACTTGAAAAACGCCATCCATTTCCTGACTCACCTAGGACGCTCTTCAGCGATACCAAGCAGTACATGACTTTGAACTAACGCAGCCATTTCCCATCATCTTTATATCCCCTCCCAGGGCCTGATTACAGCCGGAGAACGGAGCAGGGAGAGCTGCAGGGAGCACGGCCTGAGAGACCTGAAGACACAGCTGTGGACCACAGCTGGCTTTCCCAGGAAGATTCACTACCTGCGGACTTTAAAATGTAATAAGACTACTAAAGAATAAAAGGGGAAAAAAAGAAAAAAAAAAGAATAAAAGGAAAATAGAAACAGTCCTGGAATCCTGGCCTCTTTACATTTCGTGTGTCCCTGCAGATGAGCTGGGTTGTTAGAGTCACCGTTAGACAATTTTTCACCCTGGTTTCCAAGATTTGCCAAGATCCTATGCTTTGTTTTTGTTTTTTGACAGAGTTTCTCTGTGTGGCCCTGGCTGTCCTGGATTCAGTCTGTAATCCAGGCTGGCCTCCAGCACAGAGATCCAGCTGCCTCTGTCTCCCCAGCGCTGGCATTAAAGGCGAGCACCGCCATTGCCTGGCTAATGCTGTCCTCTTTAACACAGCTAAACACTGATGCAAAGATGGGAAGCTTGAGGTCACTGTAGCATTGCTCAGAGCGGCTCCGGGATTATTTGTGTTTAGGATTCAGAAGGTCCACAGTTGTAGTTATGGATGACACCATGATGGCCACCTGAGGAGGTTTTCACAGACGAAGGCATTTGAACTGGAGAAGTTGTGTGAACTTTCACTAGTCTGCTGGGTTTCACCAGAACCCCCTTAGGCTTCCTTTGCCCCAAGAAAGCTCGTTCTTTGAGTGGTGTTAAGGAGACTAGATTTGTTTTAAAAGAACATGGTACATGCCTAGAAGCTGTCATCTCACAGACACACTCACATATACACACTCATTCACTTATACACACATAAACACATACTCACATGCACACACAAACACACATGCACACACACGTGCACACTCACACACAGATAAACACACACACACATACAGAAGGGGCTTTAAAGAATATGGTATAAAGTGCAGATTCTCAGGTCTTAAGGTGAAGTTCCAGTGGTCCACTCTGCTAGGGTATGTGAGGAGCCTCCAGCATGGCCCCCTCCAAAGTCTGATTTCTACCCGGGGTCTACCTCAGCTTCAAAGGGATGTGACAATGGACTTTGTCCTCAGTTATTCCTGTGGGATGACAGAGAGACCTGCCTTCACCCACCCCAGGGGAGTTCTGCTTTCCAGTTACCTCTCAGATTCAAGCCATACTAAGCATGGCATTCTTTGACCTCATAGCCATGTTCAAAAATGTGGCCTGGTTAAAGTGCCGGCCACAGCAGTAAATAGATTCAGGGTTTTTCCAGACAAACCCTCAGGAAGACATGCTTGCTCTCTGGAAGGGGAAGGACTTAGTCTTCAACCATTATTTTTTTTTTCTGAACATGTTCAGTGATACCCCAAGCGTTCAGTAGGGCATCACGATTTGCTTCTGCTACATTTCCAGAAATCAAAGCCTTCTAGATGTGTGTGCTACACGCACACCAAGTACACACACTCGTGGCTGGATTTCTAGATATGTTTTCTGGCAACCCAATTTCCTGAAGATAAAGCTTGTGCCCTCAAAGCAGTTCAAGTTGTCTTTTAGAAGCATGGTATGGGGAGCAGGAAAATGCTAAGTTTAAATGATTTTTGGAATATCTACAGGAAAGGCAGATGGTTTCTGGCAGGAAGATAAAGCATCCTCTTAGTTTCCTTGGAGTTATTTTCTGACATTGGGACTCATATGTCTCCAGTGTTTATAAGCAAAGAGTGGCTGTACTTACTTTAAAAAGGTATTTTGACTTAATAGCCAATGTCTCCTACATTCTTCTGTCTTTGAGAAACAGAGCTTCGAGGGGGCATAAATCCTTTCAGAAATACATTTTAAAAATATATTTAGATTTTGAAGCACAAATTTCTCTGTCCAAGTTTATTTCAATATTTGCCAACTAAATTTAGTATAATGACCTTGAATTCAATAAAAGGGGTATTTGTAGAATTAACCAAAGGGGGGCATGTCTTCTCAAGCAAATTAGGAGGAATAAAGGTTGTTGGGTTCTTGTAGTCCTCTGTCAAAACTTATTTCTGACCTTCCTTCCCACTCCCTCCATCACTACCTTAATTCAGCATGTCAGGTTCTCTCCCTCCAAACAGCACTGCTGACAGCAGTGATTGCTCCTCAAACAGCATCACCCCCCTCCCCAAGCATCATCTTTAATGACACAAGACTGATTCTATTTGAATTGCAAAATAACAGGTTTTAAAACAAACACAAACAACAAAACTTTCTTGCAGCTGGATGAAGCCTTGCTACTCAGTTGGGGACAGCAAGGTGAGCGCCGGGTGAGGTTCTGGGCAGATGTAAACCCCCAGATGTGATTTTTTTTCCTTTCCTCTCCAGCCTGAGTCTGCTCAGAACTTAATGTGGTGGCTGAATTACAGTCCCCACCTTAGTCTGTACCCAGAAGTAAGCCGGGAGCAAAGGGGATAGTGAAAACGACTCTTAAATCCTGGGCCCCCTGGCTGCTCTGTGTTCTTTACCCTGACTGCTGAGAAGCGATGGGGGTTAACAAAGCTGACCTGTGGGAGTCTATGGGAGGATTTCCAGGGAAAATGAACTAAGGGAGGAAGACCCACTATACTAGCTTGTTTTTGTGTCAGCTTGATGAAAACTAGAGCAGCCTGGGAAGAGGACAGACACCTCAGTTGAGGTGCTGCCTCCTTCAGACTGGCCTGGGGCATATGTGTGAGGCTCACTGTGGGTGGTACCATTCCTAGTTAGGTGGTCCTGGACCATATAATATAGGGAGCTGAACAGAAGCCAGAGAGCTAGCAAGCCAGTAACCAGTATTTCTTCATGGCCGATGCTTAAATTTCTGCCTCAAGTTTGCTGTCTTGGGTTCCCACCCTCATTTCTCTGAGTGCAGAACTAGAGATCTAATAGGAGGTAAATCCTTCTTCCCGAATTCCCTTCTGATCATGGTATTTATCACAGCAAAAAAGAAAAAAAAAAAAAACCAAAGACCCTCCCCAGACAGCATGGTGTGAGCTCTTCTGCCTTGTCCTCCTCTCCAGACAGCATGGTGTGAGCTCTTCTGCCATGTCCTCCCCACAGACAGCATGGTGTGAGCTGTTCTGCCTTGTCCTCCACAGACAGCATGGTGTGAGCTCTTCTGCCATGTCCTCCCCACAGACAGCATGGTGTGAGCTCTTCTGCCTTGTCCTCCCTCCCCAGACAGCATGGTGTGAGCTCTTCTGCTTGTCCCCCTCCTCAGACAGCATGGTGTGAGCTCTTCTGCCTTGTCCTCCTCTCCAGACAGCATGGTGTGAGCTCTTCTGCCATGTCCTCCCCACAGACAGCATGGTGTGAGCTGTTCTGCCTTGTCCCCCTCCCCAGACAGCATGGTGTGAGCTCTTCTGCCTTGTCCCCCTCCCCAGACAGCATGGTGTGAGCTCTTCTGCTTGTCCCCCTCCCCAGACAGCATGGTATGAGCTCTTCTGCCTTGTCCCCCTCCCCAGACAGCATGGTGTGAGCTCTTCTGCCATGTCCTCCCCACAGACAGCATGGTGTGAGCTGTTCTGCCTTGTCCCCCTCCCCAGACAGCATGGTGTGAGCTCTTCTGCCTTGTCCCCCTCCCCAGACAGCATAGTGTGAGCTCTTCTGCCTTGTCCTCCTCCCCAGACAGCATGGTGTGAGCTCTTCTGCCTTGTCCCCCTCCCCAGACAGCATGGTGTGAGCTCTTCTGCCATGTCCTCCTCCCCACAGACAGCATGGTGTGAGCTCTTCTGCCATGTCCTCCCCACAGACAGCATGTGTGAGCTCTTCTGCCTTGTCCTCCTCAGGGTGAGAGACTGAAACCTCCCATACTACTAGCAAAATCTTTCCTCTTTAAATTCTCTCTCTGGTTTGGGCATGATGGTGAAAAAGGCAACAAACACAAGGCCCTGAATCACTTCCTGTTGCCTTTCATCCATCTGCTCTGCATCAGAGCTGAGAATGCAGATCCAGAAGGAGGCTACCAAGGAGTCTGAACCGTCATCCCTAACCATGATCCCCAGGACTCGGCTCCATCCTTTCCACCAGCGTTCCCAACTTCAGCAGCTTTTACTGCACAGTGCTGCAGACGCTCAGATGCACTTTAACAACACCAGAGCCTTACTCTGACCTGTTTGAAGGAAGAACCACAAAAATGCCAACTCCTGCCCTGTTTGGGATTATGATGTTCATTTCTAACAGTAGACTAATACCATCAGGAGTTCGTTGTTGTCCTGACATTCTGCAGTCTACAGAGCATTAAGATAGGGACACAATTCAGCAGAGGTCGATGAGCTTACCATCCAGAGTTCTACCAACGTTTTGTCCAGGTGGAAAAGCAGCACGTGAAGCATCTACGGTGCAGCTCAAGCACCCTAGGGAAATGTGATACAGACCCATGAGAAAGCAGAACCAGACTCAGTATCTGTACACCAGAGAAAGAACAGAGCAAGATGGACATGTGAAACTTTGTATCACGTTAGTGGAACAGATTGTACAGGTTAATAGACTGCAAAGATACAACCTATAAAAATTTGTTTTATTTTTTAAGACAGCCTTACACAACAGGAAAGCCGCTGGCAACCTACCTAGCTTCCTAGAATAATGTGGCATCTAAGTACTGAAGAAGGAATGACAACCCAGATCAATGTGTAACATTCACAAAATTGACCATGAAATATGATCCTAAGTGACGGTCAGGGAACGTCTCAGACTGGGTCCCTCTGTGTAGTCTGTGGAAGAAAGAAAGACGTTTTCCACTCACCATTAGTCGTTTCTTTATAAAAGAATTTCAAAAATTAAGCAAAAGATCTTTCTTCTGGATTCTATTCTTCAACTCCGAAATACTGATTTTAAAGAGTAGTGTGAACATTTAGCTGCAGATTCACTGATCGTAAGGAAGAACCCTTAGGAAAATGAACAGATTCTTAGAACAAAGAGAACAGTTGGAAAGACTTCGTCAGCAAGGAAATTTAAGAAGCCTCAACAGGGCCTGCGTGAGCTGGTGCAGGAACCACGTAGAATGTTGTATCCTGAACACTTCCCACTTTCATCATTTCACAAAATTCTGAACCCCCAGTCAACCGTCTCCATGGAACTGAAGAAGACCTGTAATTATTAAATAAAGCAAAAGTGAAATCCAATAAAGA